GGCTGGTGGCATCCAAGCCGCTGAAGGAGAGATCCCTGTGCCAGTCTCTTAGTGTTTCTCTGGGCTCCGGGGGCTCCTGCAGGTCCCTGGACCTAATTTCACTGGCCCAGGGTGCCGGGCTGTCCGACGAAGCTCCAACCCTGGAGGGATCCGGCACCCGGTCTGTCCCGATGATGCCGAATTGGTTCTGGCGCTCAGCTCCGCCAAGGCCGAGCTCTTCACCCCAGTCCCTGCTACCGATAGCACCGCTCTCCTGCTTGTCGGAGCTGCTCCAGCCAGGCTCTCGAGCTGGGTGATCAGGGGCACGGGCCCCAGGCAAGTCTCCTTTTCCGACACCGAAAGCATTTGCTGGCTCGGTTTGGCCAACGCTGCGTTCATCAGCCCAGCTCAGCCGGCCGGCACTGAACTCTCTATCTTCCTTTTGGGAGGTTGTAGAGCTGTAGTCACTGGCCCAGGCTGGTCTGCTGGGGCTGAACTCCCTGTGCTGCGTCTCCATATCCCTGGGGCCGTATTCGCTATCCCAGGCTGGTCGGCTGGGGCTGAACTCCCTGTCCTGGCTCTCCATGCCCCTGGGGCTGTATTCGCTGGCCTCAGCTGGTCTGCTGGGGCTAAACTCCCTGTGCTGCGTCTCCACGTCCCTGGGGCCGTATTCATCAGCCCAGGCTGGTCGGCTGGGGCTGAACTCCCTGTCCTGGCTTTCCATGTCCCTGGGGCTGTATTTGCTATCCCAGGCTGGTCTGCTGGGGCTAAACTCCCTGTCCTGGCTCTCCATCTCCTTGGCGCTGTATTTGCTGGCCTCAGCTGGTCTGCTGGGGCTAAACTCCCTGTCCTGGCTCTCCATATCCCTGGCGCTGTACTCACCAGGCCAGGCTGGTCGGCTAGGGCTGAACTCCCTGTCCTGGCTCTCCATATCCCTGGCACTGTATTTGCTATCCCACGTTGGTCTGCTGGGGCTGAACTCCCTGTCCTGGCTCTCCATGTCCTTAGTGTTGTATTTGCTGTCCCAGGCTGGCCTGTTGGGGCAAAACTCCTTCTCCGGGGTCCCAGTGTCCCCAGTGCTGGATCTGCCAGCCCAGCCCAGCGTAAAATCCTCACCCTTGGTCTCGGCGTCCCTCTTGCTGTAGTTACTGGCCCAGTCTGGGGTGATCTCCCTGTCCTTGATTTCTGCGTCACCGTTGCCATACTCGCCAGCCCAAGCAGGTGTGACGTCCCCGTCCTGGGTCTCCGCGTCCCCAGAGCTGTATCTGCCAGCCCAACTAGGCTGCCTGGAGCTCAGCTCCTTGCCCTGCTGCTGGCCGTGGCCCCC